GTATTGTTTTTCGGGTCTACCAGTAAATCAGTAGTATGACATGTATTCACACAATTTCGTCTAAGGTGACGAAGGACTGGTAGAAGTAGAATTTTCCCACAATCATATGAATTGAGCTGACGTTTACATTCAATTTCACATATTTTTCGAATTAAGTATTGTTTTTTCGGGTCTACCAGTAAATCAGTAGTATGAGATGTATTTACACAATTTCGTCTAAGCTGATGAAGGACTGCTAGTAGACTTTTCCCACAATCATATGCGTTGAGCTGACGTTTCCATTCAATTTCACATTGCCTTGCTTTCACAAGGATGAGAACAACTTTTGGGAAAGCAAGGCTGTATGAAATCCAATGTAAACGTCAGCTCAACTCATATGATTGCGGGAAAATTCTACTTCTACAAGTCCTTCGTCACCTTAGACGAAATAGAGTGAATACTTATTATATTTATTTATTATAGTTATATGAGTTGTATTCACCCTTTTTTCGTCTAAGCTGACGAAGGACTGGTAGAAGCAGAATTTTCCCACAATCATATGATTTCATACAGCCTTACTTTACCGAAAGTTGTTCTCATCCCGGCCGGAGTGGACTGCACTTTCGACCTGGCATCGGTCTTATCAACAACCCCAGCGGGAGTCGAACCACGAGTGCGATTTGGGTCACAGGGCAGATGTGCATTTGAAGGAAGGCCAGGCTTTTTGTCATAGCATATGCTTTTTTTGTGCAATTGTCGATGAAGCAAACGTATGTTTTGCCACAACAATCGACTACTTTACTCATTTTCGTATTAGAGTAGAGTTTCGAGACCACCAGTAAATCAGTAGTATAAGATGTTTTGCTGAGGTGACCTTGGCAGAGAGGTCGAGTTGTGAAAAGGAGAGAAAAGCAGTTTAGCTGACTTTGCGGTCGGCCGACTGCACTTCCATCGGCCGGAGCCAAGGCATTTTCATACAAGTTATTCACACAAACCAACTTCGTGTGTCTCTTTGAACGAGTGCAGTTGTGCGTCATGACAGGCCGGACGCCTTGACGACCTTGAATGGGATGTCGGCGAAGCCTCCTGGAGTCTACCAGTTCAGGGTTCTTGGCTGTCGCCGCGAGTGGATTGCGAAAACGAGGTCGCCTCCCTAGCAACAGGGCACGGCAACCAAACCCATTTTTCCCGGCACAATCTACCAACCGACCGAGTGGAGTCGGCTTCAACCGCTTGCCTGGTGGCCTCCAGCCGCCTGCAATCAGCGACGCACAGACACGCAACGGCACATGTCCGCGCGTCCACATACACCCGCAGGCATACACACACAGACACACGGTATCTGGTACGGCAGAAGCTCGCCACCGGCAGACCCGCATGTAGGCCATACGTTTTCTGCCAGACAAACAGATGTTCCCCCGAACCGGACGTCTCGTCTTGCAGCGATCGCTTGTAGAAACGTAAACACAACAACAACACAATCACACACACACACACACATCGGCATAAATCGGGCCGAGATTCGACCGGTTTTCTGTCTTGTAGAAAGCAGCACCGCGACACTCGTGATAACCTTTCACCGCCCCCCCTCCCCCTCCTGCCTGGGGCCTGGGACCTCGGGATCGGCAAGCTCAATGCCCCCACGACTGTACCAGTGAGTGGGCGGTCCGAGAGGAATGGGCGAAATTCCCGTTCCCACTCGTCGCCGAGGGCGGCCGACAGAGTCCGAGTTGATAGGGCCGAAAGGAACTGTCCCACCGCCGGAGGCAAATAGTCTCGTAAAGCGAATTAAACGAGAAGTGCAGTTTGTGCGGATTGAAAATAAATTTGCAAATCACAATTGAATGACTCAATTGTTGAGCTCGCTTCCACTTCGAGTGAAAGTGTGGCGTGAAGAGATTCGAAGGTCGCTTCCACCAGAAGATGATGGCCGATTCTTCTTGACCAGTTCGCGATTGCTGAAGCTGTCTCCGAGTCAATCTCGTTCGATTCCGGTGAAAAGGTACTAAGCTTTCGTGCGTCACATGACGAACATCATCTGAGCATCGAAGGTATCATCGTCACAACCGGCAAATCCCTAAAAAGTGGTATAAAGTGATTTGGTTAGTTACGGTGATATGTCAACTCCGATGCATGTGAGTGTGTCTGTGTTTGTATGTGTATGTGCCTGTTTGTGTTTGCTTATGCACGAAACCCGTGGTGATGGCTCAAAGCAATTGGTACAGCAAAAAGGAACGTCTCTTTTCGGCCATCAAGGTTTGATGACCCTATCTCGCCCTTTCTTCATACACATTTGAACCATTCCTCCGATTGCGTAAGGTCGGACACTCGTTTGGTTTTGTTGATGAGTCTTTTTTTTCTTTTCGTCTCAATGCGAGAGAGAAAGAGTGAGCTAAAAGTACAGACAAGTGTCTATCTGAATGGTGTTGTGACGATGATACCTCGCCCTGATGATGTCCATCCTATAAAGTACGAAATCTTAGCACCTTTTCACCGGAATCGAAGTAGATTACCTCAAAAAACAGCGTCAGCATGAATGTTCCAGTAAAGCCAATCGTCAGCGGGTCAAAAGGAGCCGACCTTTGC